GGCGGTTATGGAGGCAGTTTCGGTGGAGGCGGCGGATGGAAAGGCGGTGGCGGAGGTAAGGAATTATATTCTTTGTTACAAATTGTCTTCGGTGCTTATTTTCCTTTGATAAATATGTTTAAATATGTTTTTTGGGAGGGGGGAGTTAAAATGCTTTTCTCAAGATATTTAAAATATTTCCCTCAAAGTGTTTTACCTAATAAGGCGAAAATTTATAATTTATTTTCGTTCTGTCAGAATAACGCATATTAAATGCAGGGGAGAGATTCTTCTGTTGTGAAACAGTGAAGGGTAGAGTTACATAATTATTTTCCAAACATCTCTGTTATTTTTTCAGAACTTTTTCGTCCCTGTATGACAATTGCATTCACTTCGTAACAGCAAGGGAAACGCAACGAATGTAAATGAAAATGTCAAATTCTCTTGAAATGAAAACCTCTGTCAGTTGAAGCCCCTGCTTCCCTTTGTGTTTGTCCAGACTGGAACAGCTTGTCTGTTCCATTGTATGAATCCCGGGTGTAATTACTAGCACGTCGCTACCTTCATTAGTCCATGGTTTGGTTGCCTAGGAGATGACGGGTCAAGCATTTTGCAAACAAGTACACATTCCTCTCATAGCTGCATAGAAATTACTTGATACAATTTATACGCTTAAACCTTTTTGCTTCCTTGTACGATATTCAATATTAATTGCGTATTGATGGAACAGAGTGAGGTTAGGAGAATATAGCCACTGTTAAACCACGAAGTTCTTCTCTCCATATAAAGCCAATAACTGAAATCAATAGTAACCACTATTGTTAAAACGCATACATCTAATAAAACAAATTGTTACGCTCCTGTCCAGAGGTTAAAGCGGTGATTAAATTTCCCACATACTCTGGAAGCCAATTTATAATCAAGCAGCGCCTCTTCAGAGCATACATGCAACTACTCAATTATTCATAGTTTACATTTAGGACGGGCTAAACGAATCAATCGAGACACAAAGAAAAATGAATCGATTTCGTTAAATAGAATAATCGAATCACTTGTAAGTAACTATTCACTATTGAGTGAAATGGTTCTTTAGAGATCAAGTGTCACGTTTCGTGAGTGGACGTGTGAATCCAGACACAAACCACACTTCACTTCACACCTCGATTCATGAATAATCTCTTAATTCGTCATCAACTACGCACGACCGATATGCAACATTTGTCGCGTAGCGAATAATAGCAAAGCGTGAGGAAATTATGAAACTTACAATTCCAAAAATCACTTAGAACAGTTTTATGTACTCAGCTAATAAAATATCCGAAATAAAGCATAAAATATCACAAAGTTCAGAAACAGACAAAATAACATATTTTTCTTCCACTAAAGTGTCGAATATAAAAAACCATGATTTGTATGTTTATCGTTAACTCTCAAATATATTTCGCGTAGGTGAAAAATACACATCGAGGATTCCAAAAGGGTTAATAATCTAAGTTCTTATCGGACTCCAAACATTTCTACACATTTTATTTAAAAATATAAACAGATAGAAATCTGATGTCTTCTGGGATGTTTAACCTTTAATCTGGTAGAAGTTTACCGACGTTTCGCATGTGCTTACTGCCTCCATCATCGGGGCGGTAGACGTCTACCAGATTAAAGGTGAAACATCCCAAAGAAATTCAACGTCACACTCGCCTAGTTGAGAACATAAAACCTTAAAGCGGTAAAATGTTTGGCTTTTAAACACGAAACTGAAAACAAAATTAACATTTTCATAGTCACCAAGTCTATTTCGAATCAGCAAAAGGAGAATTCAAAATCCAACAAAACTGAAAATTTAAACGTCTCCATCATTTTACTTGAAAGTAATATCGTACAGTATTAACGAAATGAGACCACGTTGTCTGCAGAACACCGCGGAGTTTTAATTGTACTTGGGTGTAACCCCATTTAACAGTGTGACATTTACCTCCAAGGTACAATGTATTTAGCACGTTGGTATAAATGTAGATGGTAGCACTGTTCCGACACTTAATAAACGTTCCTACAGTCTGTCGCTTGCATTAAAATAAAAATAAAAGAACAGTGAAAAAAATACTGATGTCATCTCTTACCTTACACCGAGTTTCTCTGAAGCTGCTTGACAACATGTCCTGAAAAACAAAAGAAAATCAGATAAAATGTTAACAGCTTTAACAATAAAATGTGTACAGTCTTCGATGAAAAACTGTTACCGCTTAGATAACAAAGAACTTTATTTGTCTGCGTAGGCACAAGATCCCACTAGAGGAACCAGTTAAAGCATCTTAATACACATTTCACTTGTAATTTTATAGAATAATCCAAAATTTATGTGCATGAGCGTTAAGTAAGAGTAATGAATTAATAACAGCATAAATTAAAGCAATGTTTTTTCTTAATAATAATCTGTCAAGCTTTTGGTGTAATGATGTTCTCAGCGTTGGTCTTATGGGTAGGAACGTCATGTGAACCTGTAAGTAGACACAAACGTTTCGGATGAATATACTGACTCAATATTCAGAGTTTTTCTTCCGAAACGTCGGTTTCCACACGGAAGAACCTACAAAATCTGGGCATGATCATCAATACCTGTATTTAAAATACACAATTTCTTGTGATTCTCCAAAGGTTCGTGACAATAAGTCGCAAAAGGAGCGCTATATTGTCCATTGTCTGAGGTCTACTTGATATGCACGACGTTTCGAGAGTTGTCTTGGGAACAGCCAACTCCCAAAACGTCGCACATATCAAATATACCAATACCCAACAGTGTTTGCTAAGACAACGATAATGAGATTATGAATTATAATAAGAAAGGGGTTACCAAATCAAGAAAGACGGGGAATAGACAGGAGATTAAGCGTGCCTGAAAAATTTTAGCTACGACGCGTGAAGGGGCAGAGATCGCTTTGAAGACGCACGTGCGATTTAGATGAGAGGATCACTTCTTTTGCCTAGTAACCGTCATTATAAATTTTGTAATCGCTTCTTAAATTTAATCTGAAATTAAACCGTTAAAATCAGTCAACAGTCGTAGTCAGATATGAATATTTAGAATGTTCAAACTCTTGACAATGTTCAACTGAAGTCACAATAAAAAATACCGATTATTTGTAGAGCTTCCTTCCTCTCGAATCACACAAACATATTATTTTAGAACGTTTTTTAAAACTTTTTTTTAGACCTTTCACATACCATCGTTTAAATCAACATTAAAAAGTGGACTCGAATTCTCGGAAGCAGACAAATTAATTAGAATTCCTTTAGAAACGACGTTCACAAAAGAAAACAGAAAACCAAGGCAAAATTATTTTCACGAATTATAAGTTATTTTATCCTGCCACTGTGAAGGAAAGTTGTTATGAAAAACGATTTATAATTTAATAATAAAGAAGTAAAATTATAACACTCTGTAAAGAATGAGAAAATAAATTATCTGACAGATTCATAAACTGAACTGAGAGTAAATTTATTTTCAAGAACATTATTCTTATTTTTTCGAGGCATAGGGGGAACAATGTCTCGATAATTATTTATCGATTCTTACTTTATTTTTGCGTGCTATTTCAAACAAATTATGCCAACAAAGAAGAGAATATGTCGAATGGTTTAACTATGAGTTTGGATCGAAATTGTGATGATCTATTTGAATGTACCATATTGGAATTTCCTTGGAGGAACTGAGGAAGACCTCGAAACGCCTGAGTCAGGATAAATAATAATAACCCGGTTGAAAATCGAAACTGATCCCTGGGAATTCAAACATACACCATGAAACAGCTGGCCGACAGGGGGACTCTGCGTTTGGCGGTTTCGAAACAGATGTCGCCCTGGTCAGTCCTACAGCAGTACCGTTTGAATGCGCGCAAATGATGAAGCAGACTAGGAGACAGAACCTCTGTGAATATACTAAATATTTCACGTGGTTCGTAGGGATAAAACGAGTAGAGACAGACTTCACGCATGTTACTAAATGCGGATGCTATCATGCGACAGTTTTACAGGAAATTACATTACGCGTTACAGGACTGCATTTCTGCTATACAAATTTTAATTTAAACATATACATTGCAAAAAGTCACACAATGTGTGTGTAATGAGAAAATCGTCCTGCATTTAACACAAATGGCTTTTAAATTACAGGCACCTTTTCGTCCACATTGCGTTATAAAATGTGGCGAGTAATTTTAATACATTCAGAAGTGGATAACTGGATAAGGCTCTATTTAAGGATCGCACAAATTACTAAGTGACTATTTCTTTAAAAAGCTGGCAACTGAAGACGTATCTGAAGAATACAATTTCTGACATCTGCTACTCAGACTATATTTTGAACTTGCAACATTTTGTTTAAAACTCCAACACCTGGAAAGTTCTCTTCATTTTTCGAGGTGGCTTGCATGTATTCGTCAGTGGCAGATCCATCAAAAACACTCACGCAATGTACAAGTTAATCAGCGCATCAGACACGAAAATTTAATATTCGGACACGATAGCAAAAAATAAATCAGCACAACAAATTATTTCAAGATTCTGTGTTCCTTCCAGCTCATCACTTTGTATCAAGCCATTCAGCGTAGCTACGAAGTGAGATAAGCCACTGTATGAGATTTAACTTTCTCGCAGCGGTAAATACAAATTTTGATCGTCTACGTAGCAACACCGTGTTGAATTAAACGTACGAGGGTCGCTCATTAAGTAATGCCCCACATTTTTTTCCTCAGAACATATTTATTCAAGATGGCTCAAATTTAGTGACAATATAAATCAATGTTTCCTTTACACATACTATTTTTCCACATAGTCCCCATCAACTTGTACGGTTTTACGCCAGCGTGGAACAAGTGCAGGCATGCCTTGCCGGTACCAGCTCTTGTCCTGTCCCCGTAGCCATGTCCTCACTGCTTGAATCACGCTCTCGTCATCTTCAAATCTTGTTCCGCGGATAGCATCTTTAAGGGGCCCAAAGAGATGGAAGTCGGAGGGTGCCAGATCTGGACTGTAGGGTGGATGGGGTAGCACCGTCCAACCCAATTTGGTGATTTCTTCCCGGGTTCTCAGACTTGTGTGAGGGCGTGCATTGTCGTGCAGGAGCAAAATTTCTGCTGGATGCTTGTGAGGCCGAACTCGTCGAAAACGCTTCTTGAGGGTTTTCAGGGTCCTGATGTACGCGTCTGAATTGATGGTCGCACCTCTTGGCATCACATCCACAAGAATGACCCCATCACTGTCCCAAAAGACAGTCATCATGACTTTTCCGGCGGAGGGAGTTGTCTTGAATTTCTTCTTTCTCGGTGATTGAGGATGATGCCACTCCATTGACTGCCTTTTTGTCTCTGGCTCAAAGTGGTGTATCCAGGTTTCGTCACCTGTAATGATCCGGGACAGAAAGACCTCTCCCTCAGCATCAAAACGCTCCAACAATTCAGAAGAAATCGTTTTCCTTTGAATCCTGTGGTCTGCTGTGAGACTTCGTGGAACCCATCTTGCGCACACCTTCGAATATGCAAGAGCCCGGATAATTGCAATCACACTTCCATTGCTGACTGAAAGCTGTTGGGCCAATTGTCGAGTTGTGATGCGCCGATCCTCACGAATAATGGCATCCGCGCGGTTCAACATGTCTGGAGTGGTGGCTGTGGCAGGACGCCCAGAGCGCGGCAGATCACGGAGCTCGGTTTCTTCACTTCCTGAAGCTTTAACTCTCTTAGCCCAGCGACCAACGGTGCTCCTATCGACTGCACAGCTTCCATACACAGCACACAAACGTTTATGAATGTTCACCACCGTTTCTTTTTCAGCAACAAGGAATTCAATTACAGCTCGTTGCTTGTAACGAGAGTCGTTCACAGACGCCATTTTAACAGTTCACTACAGCTCCGCTATCGGTTGGAATCATTTGAAACTCCGTACACGAACGCGGGAAACATCAAATCTCAAGCATGTAAAAGTACACTTTTCTATCTTCAGTATTGGCTGAGAAAAAAAATGTGGGGCATTACTTAATGAGCGACCCTCGTAAAAAATGTCACAATTTTTAATTGTATTCGGGAGAGGCCTCTTTTCTAACCGCGGTCATCTAAACGGCTATTCTGAAGATTTCCCTCCGGGTGAAGATCGAGATAGTAGGCCTACTTCGAAATGAACCAAGGCAGATTATTTTACGTTTCCAATCATCTGCTTTCATTTGGCAATGACTGTTGATACGATATTGTTAAATAATCTCCGAAAAATGTGAGCATCTTAAGCAATTATACATTCTATGACCATTTCAACAACTAAAAAAATATACCCAAACAAAACGAAAGTGAACACTCTACAACATTCATCAATAAATGTGTTTTGATTCAAAATTAAATATAGTATTTGAGATTTCCAGGGCAGCGAGTTCGAAGATATCTGCCTTCTGGGTTGTAGTATGGTAGAAGTTAACTGAGGTTTCAACAGTGCTTGCTGTCTCCATCATCAGGGCGATCATCGCCCTGATTATCCAGAAAACATCCATATTCAAAATTAAATATAATGGGAATGGGAATGAGATATGGAATAGCAGATAACAATAGCACCTATCTCAATGAGAGTCATTTGGAAAAAGGCCAAGTAGGAGACGGAAAAACTCAGAGCAGGAAAGGAATTTATAATCTGATAGGAGAAAAGGAGATTGGAATGATAGTAAAGATGAGAACGGGGAACCGATAATAATAGACAAACCCAAAGAAAAGCAGAAACAACATTCAGCATTGAAGAAAAATGAAAAATGTCCGGGTCTGCCCACCAGTCCACACGGTGCACAAACCAGAACAACAACATAGACATGCATAAACGTGTTCAGAAGTATGCAAAAAAACACAGTAGATTCCCGATTATGCGACGTAAAAGGGACCGAAGAACGGTCGGAAAACCGAAAATTTCAGATAATACGGGAGGCTAATGAAAATGACGAGGATAAATTGAACGTTCCGATACGTCGAATAAACGGAATGTAGGATAATCTGGACTCTACTGTATTTCGAACCTTCATTACCTACAAGGCGAAGTAATATTAAATGTAAAGGTTACTTAGCATCGAATGAGAGAAGATGATCAATGTATAAAATTAAATGGAAATTGTGAGGAATAGTTTATCGATAAAGATACTATGCCAGAATTCACTTTGAGACAATTTCAACAACCGAAACCAGACAGCATGGGGGAGGTATTGGTTGGGAGGCCTGAAGAGAGGCAACAGCTGGGAAGACCTAGGCGTAGGTGGGAGGATAACGTTAAACTGGAACTTAGTAAAGTAAACCAGACCCTCTACACTCCGTGTAGGCCATTTGGGAAAACAGAAGGTATAGATCCTACTCATTGTCGACCTCGGCACTACATGTGGGTGAGTGGTCAGCATCACGACCCTGCCGTGCTTTACCCCCGGGAAAGGACCTCGGTACCCACTGGATAGGAGGCTGAGTGGACCCCAGAGCCGGTCTTGACGCAGGGGCTAAAGGAACAATCCTCTGCCCCCATCGTGGATCGAACCCCAGTCGTCCAGTCCTTAGGGAGTTAGGAATCGATGGAGCGAAATGGATACAGCTGGGAGCTCGGTTTCTTCACTTCCTGAAGCTTTAACTCTCTTAGCCCCGCGACCAACGGTGCTCCTATCGACTGCACAGCTTCCATACACAGCACACAAACGTTTATGAATGTTCACCACCGTTTCTTTTTCAGCAACAAGGAATTCAATTACAGCTCGTTGCTTGTAACGAGAGTCGTTCACAGACGCCATTTTAACAGTTCACTACAGCTCCGCTATCGGTTGGAATCATTTGAAACTCCGTACACGAACGCGGGAAACATTAAATCTCAAGCATGTAAAAGTACACTTTTCTATCTTCATTATTGGCTGAGAAAAAAAATGTGGGGCATTACTTAATGAGCGACCCTCGTAGATACTAACATTTCGGAAGAAAATACTGCGTTTATCTTCAGCCCTGAAGATAGAAGCAGCATTTTACTCCGAAATGCTGGTAACCATTTATAAGTAAACTGAACGTCAACTGCAATGAATCTTACAAAATAATCAACTTGCAATACTATACTTGTAAATATAACTAAGTTGGTCGTGAATTTTATTATATGGAAACAAATAGTTATAGCTTTAAATATAATTATTTTCTAGTGTGTTGTGTGTTGTAGTTTTGTAGAAATTTAACAAAGTTTCAGAGGTACTTGCTGCCTCCATCATCAGTGTTATGTGCTCAGTGAAAAGAGTTATTGTGAACAGCACTATCTGATTTGTGTTCACTCGGTAGCGTCCGGCCCGTGTCTTTACAAAGCCTTCAATAAAGTTCGTAGATATCCCTTGCTCTGAAGGTTCTCTTACCCATGATAGAGAGCGCAGTTTATACATTGTGCTGTGCTGTATTTCAGGTGGCTGGTGGTAATAACCCTACGTCTTCAAGAAAGCTTTAACACAGCACCAAGGTTTTTATATCGCACCAAATTGTCAACGTATCAGAAGCACAAGGCGAAAAATCAAAGACTTACATCATCGGGAAACAGTGTCAGAAACAAGAGACAGATGCAATACGAATTACTTAAGTAGGCCTGATGTTTATCGCCTCCCTTCCCACGCACCTAACCTCAAAAAATAAAATCCACTTTATTTTGAAAAGTATAAACGACATTATATTTTATGTATTTGCAAATAATTTTATATTATTGTGATGTAAATAATAAATATTTTAATATAAAATATAGATATAATGTTATTCTATCAAATCCCAACCATTCATCCGACATGCAAGAGAAATTATTTGGCCTGAAACATTATCAATCCTCCGGGAATCTGACGATGCCAGGCTGCAACCGGACGAACATTACCAACGTCAGATTTTATGTTCCCACGGAGGCTAGTGAAAAAACGGCTGTATTCTGGGTTAATGCGTCGTGATATCTGGCAGGAGTTTACCGACGTTTCAGAAGTAATTGCTGCCTCATCGCCCCGATGATGGAGACAGCAGATATCTTTGAAACATCGGTAAAGTTCTACCAGATTTTACGCCGCAAGAACCAACAAGAAAGTTACGACATTTTTATGATCCTCTCTTGATGAACCGTTTTAGAAAACTCAGAAGAATCATCACTAGAAGTGACATCTATTGACCTCAATTGCACATAAAGCCCATTATAAGTCTTTTATAATTTTTTTGTCAAAGACGATGGTGCGCGCGCAACAAAGATAATAGAAACTGCATACAGAATTTGTAAAAACAACTGAAGGGACAAACTGAAGTATAAGGAAGGATAATATTAAAATAGTCTTTAATGAGTGGGATTGGTAAGGTATGGGGTGGATTAATCTGGCTCAGGATAGGGCAGCTGAAGACGACCTACTGTGAATACGGTGATGATCGTGGAGTTCCATAAAAGATAGTTCCTCGACAAGCTGAGCTACTATCAGGTTCTCAAGAATATCTCTGCGTTAGGTAACCTTCCGCTCTAGCGGGATTTCAGACTTAAACTTATACAAATAGCGAATATTTAAAATATTCAAGATAAACTTTAAAAATTAAATTTTGGCACAGTTCTTGTAAAAGCATATAATTACAGTGGAGACCCGGGCAATTAAACGTTTTAACTTACTAAAGAATACAGATTTTTTTGTGTTCACAAAAAGTGACCTTAAATCATCCCAGTTATTCTAAAATAATTTCAAGCAATTAAATCACAAATGGACTCGTAATATCGAGTTAGCTTCCGAGCATGACTACAGACTTTAATTACATCTTCTAACGACATTTTTTTTGTACGAGAAATTTACAAAGGGTAAAGAATTCTACCACCCTAATTACCACAATATCTCGGGGTGCGTAAAAGAAAAGGAATATGGCGAAGACCAGAGTATTTCTACACAAAGATTTTCCATGCGAATTTCAAAGTCTGCTTCTAATAAAATACAAGACCTCATCTTGTGAATCTGAAATAGCGAAGATCATTTCCGTTGGTGGCAGTACTGTGAAGTTCAAGACACAGAACACGGCGTGCAAGGTTCGTGGGATAAGTATTTATTCATTCCTTGTAATCATTGCGTCGACTAATTAAACAGATTACAGAACG